GTATGTTTGGTGCGGCTCAGGGGGAAAGGGAGGGGCCCGGGAATCCATCTGGGTGGGTGTGGGGGGGATGTTTTCAAAGTGTGTTTGGGAGGGGGGGGGGGGGGCGTCGCTCAGGGTTCATCGGTTGGAGGAAGGCAGCCGCTCTGGCTCACTTACTCCACATCTCGCTTGCGGATCGTCCTGCCGGCGCCCATGACGTCGGCCACCTTGGAGACCAGAGGGTCATAGTTCATGCTTGCCACGGCAAGGACCTCGTCGCTCCTGGAAGAAGAGATCGAGGGCTCAGCGGGGGAAGGCCAGAATGGCCACCCCAGGGCAACGGAGCATCTCCTGCCAGGCGGGAGGGACCAGGCGGACCTCCAGGTGCTTTCTCCAGGCACTTTCCTCTTGGGTGCCAAGGGGGATGCCCGCTGGGCTCACACAACAAACTGAAGCCACCAGCAACGGGATGGAACACACACCCTGACTGGTTACCTTTGCATGGCACACATAATTAGCCCAAAGAGCAATCTAGCAGCAGTGGCATCTGTCGGGAGTGGTCAAAAAAGGCAAGATGGCTTTTTAACCTACCCCACCCCCTGCAGACGGTGCTGTCTAGGAGCTACAGGGATACCCCTTTCTGCACACTGCTGGCTCGTGCGAACATCTGTGGTCTGCCAGGACACCCAGATCCTTCCTGCCAGTGCAACAGCTAAGCCAGGGACTGCCTTCTTGTCGCTGGGCACCTGGTTGCTGCTATTTAAGCGCAGAACCTTTCATGTCCCACCACTGGGTTGGACAGGACCTAATATTCAAGTCTAGCAAGATCCTTTTGGATCCTGACAGCCTGGAACGGTCCTTATTGTGCTTCTTCTAAAATGTTTTTCTAGCGTTTCATGGCCAAGGTCTGAAATAAAAGAAGTTCTATTATTCTTTGAAGCTAAAACTGATCGCACAGATTCAGCCAGCTTCTGTAACATCATCAAGCATTATACAAACGGCTGTGTTTAGTTACCATAGGTGAACAGTAACCACTGTGCCCACAGGTCACGGCGGCTCATAAATTAAAGCTTTTCATGGGCACTTACTTAGTGTAAAAGGCTACAAATTTAAGTTCATCTAGGTCTCCCCGAGTAATCACATCATCAAATCCTTCTCCGTGGCCTAGAAAAGAAAACCAACATGTATATATAGGAAGAACTAAGTTTTTACTTTTTCCTGTATTAATCTGCAATCTTGTTTCTTAAAAAAGCATAAAAATCTGTATTGTGAGAAAACAACGTATACTATGCATGCATAAATGTATTTAGAAGCATTCTGAAATAAATATGCATTTTTAAAACGCATTTCACACGTTTTTTTGGAGCACTGCATTGCAAAACTGAGAAAACAAGGAGAATTATGCTCCAACCTGCAGATGAGCCCGCAAGGCGCAGAATTAGCTCCCTTTGGGCCAAGAATGGAGAAGGACACATTTTAAGGAACCCTAAGCTAGATGCTCACTCCAGCTCTCCAAATCCAGGCTTGGTTCCAGAGCATGGATTGCTTACAGACACAAGGCTTTTGCATTTCTTCCGAGAATCCCTCAGCTTTGCAACGAAGAGATGGGTTAGCACTGGATGTTGCCATTCTGCCTGGGTGGGTTCTTATTTATTTATTTATTTATTTTATTTTATTTATCCAATCTATATGGCCACCCATCTCAATGTGTGGCTCCAGGCGGTGAACAGAATTAAAATAAAATAAAAACAGTCACAAACATTGCAAAAGTTAAAAGACAAAGTTGCTGAGAACATCAAACCCAACCACTAACACAACCAAGAAGCGGGTCCCTGCACACACCCTAACCCTAACCCTAACCCTAACCCTGTTAGGTAACCCTTCCCTTACCTGCATAGCGAATGCTCTTGCCAAACATAGCGGTCCACAGGTAAGGGACTGTGCTGATTTCTGTCCCATGAGCCAACATGTTCAGTGCTGCTATGCGCCCTGGAATGTAATGGAGAAGCAATGGGCGTCAGCCAGGAACATGAAGAAGGTTCTTCTAGCGCACACCAAACTCATGTTCATGCATTATTTCAATAGTGTAAGCCCTTCGAGGTTGGCCAGGTCAAGAAACAGGCACTGCAGGATTCTAGCAATGCTCTTTACTCTTGTAGAGTAACAGAACCCTGAAGGTCTGTCCAACTTTCTCCCTGCCCCATAAACCAAACCAAGCTCTTTGGAGTTTCCTTCCTGTGTTTTCCTGTTTCTCAGGACCAAGTAATTTTTTCTGAAAGTCCTCCCTTAACAGTTCACTCATACCTTCCTTATCCCCAAGATCAGCTCTACATTCCTTCACAAACAGGGACAAATGTAAAGTCCTACGCTCAGGTAGAAAAAAAATCAAAGCCGTGAGTCTAGGATGAGGGGCACCCTAGAGGAGAGCAGGACGTGTGAAAAGTCTCTGGGTGTCCGAATGGATCCCCCATTGAACATGAGCCAACAGTGTCACGCAGCTGCAAACGAGACAAATGCAATCCTACACTGCACCAAGAGCAATACAAGATCAGGAGAAGGTGATCAGGGGGCTGTAGGCACCCTCTTGTCTTTCTCTATACCCCTCTCTGCTCTGCTGTTGCTGGAGGTAGATGCACTCCGTGTGTGCGTGTGACGCATCTGACCTGAGCTAGGATGAGTGAAGCAGGCTTTATAACCAGGACAGAAAGGAGGTTTATTTACAGGAAAAATATGATAGAGATGGGCAAAGCTGAGCACCCAGCTAACCACACCCAACCAGGAGGAGAGTCAGAGAGGCTGAGAAGGAAGGCTGAAGAAGGGGACCCCAGAAGAGCCATCCCTCGCAGCAAGAGCAGGCAGGCTGATGGAGATGGTGGGGTGCAGAATCCATTCTCTCCACACCCCACTGCTCCTTGTGGTCAGCAGGCCGTGGAAGGGCAGAAGAATCAGCACCGTCGCATTTGGGCCTCTGCCACCCAGTATATCTTGACTGGCCTAAACTACGGGGACAAACGAAACAGGCTGCAGGGACCTGCACCATTTCCTAAGACTGGAGCCCAGGACTAGGAGCCTTTTCTTCCAAGAAAGAAGGCCGCAAGAATACCCACCCTGCATGTGAGCCATCTGCCAGTGGGGGACATTGGTCTTCTTATGATTTCTCAGCGCCAGGGGAAAGGTGACCACGTCTCCCGCAGCGAAAACTCCCAGAACGTTGGTCTGCATCATCTGGAAGGGAGAGGAAGAGCCCTGTTTGGGGAGGACACCTTGCAAGGGTGGCACATGGACCGGTGGAAGGAAGGAAGGAAGGAAGGGAGGGAAGAGGGAGGGAAATGAAATGAAATGAAATGAAATGAAATGAAATGAAATGAAATGAAACGGGACAGAGGGAGGGAGGGAGGGAGGGAGGGAAGAAAGAAAGAAAGAGAGAGAGAGAGAGAGAGAGGAAGGAAGGAAGGAAGGAAGGAAGGAAGGAAGGAAGGAAGGAAGGAAGGAAGGAAGGAAGGAAGGA